AGTTCTCCAACCCTGAATGCAGACTTTCCTGACTTATTGGTGATTTCTGCTCCTCAGTATTCCCCTTGCCTCTTTCCTGGCCTGTGGACATGTGTGACACAACAGGGAAAGGTTGAGAGGCAGGACTGAGAAAAAGAAAATCAAATCACATTCTTTTAGTATAAAGTACTATCTACGCTTAATTTTAGAATTGACTGCTATTGCTCTGTGGGGACTTTTGGCTAATTAAATTTGAAATAGATAATGCTGTCTCAATGTGTATTCCTGACGCTGTACTGTTTATTCATGTCAGGTATACATAAGACATTCGACATTTTATTCCTTAAAGATCTCTCAGGTAAATTACAGGCATTTTACTGCTCTGACCTTTTCCTTTACATGAAGAACTTTTGTTTTCACCATTTTTTGGTGGAATATAATGTTAGAACGGATGTAATTGGAGAGGTGTAGTTGTTCTAGTCTGTATAGTTGGGTTATTACCTGTAATGATCCTATAATACTGATACTTGTAAGTGATTATCTCTTACCAAACTACTTTAAATTTAAAGAAAAAGACTGTTTCACTGAATGGTTTTGGTGAATCACCTTTTCTGTTCCTTTCCCTGAATACTACATTTGCTTTCCTAACGCATTTTGTGCCCAAGTCTTAGGGAGATGGCTTGCTCTATTAATATGTTTCTGGAGTTCTCCTGTTATGAATAGCCTTTTATGGCTTTAATGTAGTTTTTGTAAATTCCTCTATTATTGATCCAGATATTATCCCAGCAGGAGTCAAAACCACAAGACAATTGTGTGAGGATAATTTCTTACTACAGTAGCATTTTATTCTGAAAGCCTGCTGTGTGGTGTGTGCTTTGATGGATGACCCGCTGTTTAAAATGTGTATTAGACATTGGCTTGCTAATTAAATGCCTTAAGGAGTGCCTGTACCCATTCAGTCTCAGTAAATTTGTGAAATTTCTGTTATTTTATTTCTTGCTTACGTTCTTGTGTTTACTTCTTTCTATTTTCTGATTTTGTAGAGAAGAATGGGAGTAATAAAAAAAAAAAATCAAACTGCTTTCTGCCCTTACTCAAGAGTTTCAGCTCATGGGTGTGTTGAGACAATGAGGGCTCTTGGTTTCAGTACTAGGTCTGCCAGGGGAGCATGAGGAGAAGAGGTGGGCTTTGCATTTCAGAAGGGAGTGAGAAGAGCACAGGGAGATCTGAATTTGGATTCCTTTTTCCTTCTGAAGGATCATTTCCCATGTCTCAGAAGAGGACCATAATTACATATGTAATATGTACACATAATTACAAAGCTGCAAGGTGCTCTTAGACTTCTCTGTTGAAGTGCCCATGCTTGATGCATTTTACTGGGAGGGAGGATGTGAGAACATTCATAGGTGAAGAAAGGGTATAAAGTTATTCTCCTAATCTCTGAGCTGTTAAATTGAAAGAGCAGTCAAGGGGGCAGGGATTTCTGCACACTTCCAGGAAACTTTTCCTGTGTATAATCCCCATTCCCTTTGTTGTTTTGGGTTGGGGCCTTAGTGTTTTTGTTTGTTTGTTTGTGTTTTTTGTTTTGTTTTTTCCCTTCTTTTTTTTTTTTTTTGTGGAGTGGGTATGCATCAGAAACATTATATTTACTGATGAGGTTTCTGCAGGGCTGCTCTTAATCCCTTCATCCTCCAGCCTGTACTGTACTGATACTGACCCATACATGGGATTTTGTACTTGGCCTTGTTGAACTTCATGAGGTTGATATTGGCCCACTTCTAATGCCTGTCAAAGTACCTCTGGATGGCATTCCTTCCCCCAAGTGCATCAAGTGTGCCACTCAGCTTGATGTTATCTGCAAACTTGTTGAAGGTGCACTCAATCCCTCTATGTCATTAGTAAAGATTCTGAGCAGTACTGATCTCAGTATAGACTGCTGAGGTACACCGCTTTTGCTGATCTCTGATTGGACATTGAGGATATTGTGTAGGGCCATGTCAAAGGCCTTACAGAAGTTAAGTTGGATGACATCTTTTGGTCTTCTCTTATCCACCAATGCAGTCAGTCCAGCACAGGTGGCCACCAGATTACTCAGGTAGGGTTTGCCCTCTGTGATGCGATATTGGCTGTGTCTAATCACCTTTCTGTCATCCGTATTCCTGGACATCTTCCAGGAAAGACCTGTTCCATGACCCTACTGGGCACAGAGATGAGGCTGACTGGTAGTTCCGAGGGTCCTGCTTTTTACCCTTTTAAAGAATGAGTGTGAAGTTCCCCGTTTTTGGTCACTGGGTGTCTTCACCTGACTGGCATGACTTTTCAAGTATAATGGAGAGCAGCCTAGCAACTACATCAACCAATTCCCTCAGAACTCTGGGATGCATCTCACCAGGTCCCATGGACTTTGCCTCACACAGAGTTGTGGTCAATGGCTCAATGTCCAGCTGGAGACCAGTAATGAGTGGTGTCCCTCAGGGATCGATGTTGGGACGGGTCTTGTTCAACATCTTTGTCGCTGACATGGACAGTGGGATTGAGTGCGCCCTCAGCAAGTTTGCCAATGACACCAAGATGTGTGGCTCAGTTGATACGCTGGAGGGAAGGAATGCCATCCAGAGGGACCTTGACACACTTGTTAGGTGGGCTAATGCCAGCCTTATGATGTTTAACCATGACAAGTGCAAGGTCCTACACCTGGGTCAGAGCAATCCCAGGCACAGCTACAGGTTGGGCAGAGAAGAGATTCAGAGCAGCCCTGCGGAGAAGGACTTGGGGGTGTTGGTCAATGAGAAAATGAACATGAGCCAGCTTCAGTGTGCGCTCGCAGCCCAGAAAGCCAACCATATCCTGGGCTGCATCAAAAGGAGCATGACCAGCAGGTCGAAGGAGGTGATCCTGCCCCTCTACTCTGCTCTCATGAGACCTCACCTGGAGTATTGTGTGCAGTTCTGGTGTCCTCAACATAAAAAGGACATGGAACTGTTGGAACAAGTCCAGAGGAGGGCCATGAGGATGATCAGGAGGCTGAAGCACCTCCTGTATGAAGATAGGCTGAGGAAGTTGGGGCTGCTCAGCCTGGAGAAGAGAAGGCTGCGTGGAGACCTCATAGCAGCCTTCCAGTATCTGAAGGGGGGCCTATAGGGATGCTGGGGAGGGACTCTTCATTAGGGACTGTAGTGACAGGCCCTAATGAAAGTTTTAAAACTTACATAGGGTTAAAACTTACATAGGGGAAGTTTAGATTGGATATAAGGAAGAAGTTCTTTAGTGTCAGGGTGGTGAGGCACTGGAATGGGTTGCCCAGGGAAGTTGTGAATGCTCCATCCCTGGTGGTGTTCAAGGCCCAGTTGGACAGAACCTTGGGTGACATGGTTTAGTGTGAGGTGTCCCTGCCCATGGCAGTGGGGTTAGAACTAGATGATCTTAAGGTCCTTTCCAACCCTCACTATTCTGTGATTCTGTTCTATGACTTGTATATGTTCAGGTCCCTCAGAGGATCTCAAACCTGATCATCTTCTGTGATGGGTGGGACTTCATTCCTCCAGTCCCTGCCTTGAGATTCAGGGAACTCGAGAGATATGGAACAAGCAATTGCCAGTAAAAACTGAGGCAAAGAAGTTGTTAAGTACCTCAGCTTTCTCTGTGTCAGTTTTCACCAGGTTCCCTGTATCATTTATCAGCTGGGAATGAAAACATGGATTCATCTAAACCAAAGCAAATTACTAATTTTCTGTTAAACACAGTAATTAATATTATTTTAAAAGATGAGAGTTGGAGACCAATTTTGAAAAATATGATTGTTCTGTAGTGATGACCTTCTTGAGAACAAACCTGCAGGTTTGAGGACAAGCAAGCAGGTGGCCCTGCTTGGGCTGGGGGTGGACAAGATGACCTCCAGAGGTTCCTTCCAATCTCAACCACTCTAAACCACAAATAGTTGTGTTTGCAAAGGAAGGCATTCTGTTTTCATTAGTATTGTCAGCAGTCTGGGAGCGCAACTTATTTTCTTTCACTGTAAATGCTCCTTGCTTATTTGAAAGAAGGGGAGACAAAGCAAAAGCAAGGCCTGGCATCAGATGCATAAAGAGGAGGAAAGTCCCTGTTTTTCTTCTGAAAGTTCTTGCAGAACACATTCAAGGCCAAATCATGATTTTTTTTCATCTATGTCCCTCACATGTAATTATCTGTGTCAGTCCAACCAGAGAGCTCTCGCTGATACATTCAAGTAAATGCTCTGTGTTCACAGTAGAGACTTCTGTGGGAAAGAGGATACTGTACTCTAACCAGAGAAAACTATTTTGTTCTCATTGATAAACCTTTAGCCCATGGAGGAAGTGTGTAGGATCAGATAACTTTTAACTAACGAAAGCAGGCAGGAAATGAGGGAACACATCTCCCCCCCGTCTCTCTTTAGACCGTATAGCCCCAGTATGGGATTTGGAGATTCCTAGCTGGCTTGTGGGACTGGTCATGTTCTCCCAAGTTCCTGGGGATGGGTAGTAGGGTTGTGGTGGTACCCTGTTATGAAACTCCTTTCCCTACCAGTACCACCTGCTTGGGGCAATGCTAACTCCTGTTGTTTCCTCCTCCTTCTCCTCCTGCATAGAAGCAAATTGCTGATACCTGTTCATCAGGCCTGTGCTGTGCCTTTCTGTTTTTTGTCTGAACTGTGTTTTCATGGAAACAGTTGCTTTGGGGCTGCAAGGCAGCCCCAAGGCACTTCAATATCCCAAAACCTCAATTGATAATTACATTTGTTGGTTAACTTCTTCAAGTAAAGGCAGACGGTTTCTCAGTTCAGGATGGGGTGAGAAACAGCCATGTCCACTCCACTGAGTGATTTATACAGGCTATGGTGTTTTATAAGTTCAGTGCTGCAGTACACAGAGGTAGAAACTGTCTTGCATGCACTGGAGATGAGTGCAAAAGAAAGGAAAAGAGAGAAAAGCACATTTTGGGAGGTGGAGAGAGAGAAATTTCTTCTAATCCCTCTGAAATTATTTTATTTTGAAAATTATTAGGTCTGGATGGACTAAGCCAACTGAGTTACCAAGACAGCCTATCCTATGGTGAAGATGACCATTTATCTGTTGATTCAAGAGCAACAACTGAGAGTAGGGGCATGGGGCAGCATGAAGAGCCTAGGATGGAGTCCAGTATTGCTGATGCCATTAGGCCGCAAGCCACAGAAGGACATTTGGAAGTGGATACCAACCAGGGCTTTGAAGTAAGTGATGCTACTGACAGGTCATCGCCTTGGAACCCCAAGGTATGGTGAATTGTCATGTATTACCCACAGCATAAGCTTTCAAAGAGTATTGGGGGCCAAAAAATATTAGAGGAGAAATGAAGTGAAAAATTGGTCAGCACAGAATACGGTAGTGGTACTTCCCTGTGCATGTGTGCATGAACATATGCTCCTCTCTACATGTTTTCCCTTTTTCTGGTATTTTATCTCTTGCTACTAACACTCATTCAGAGAAGCGGCCCAGAGCTTTGTTATTGGCTGTATGTGCAGGGTGAGTGTCTAGGGACCTGGTGTATGGTCGCTGGGTCAGACCTGTGCCTCTTTTTCCAGGTAGTTTCTATGGCTTAGGCAGTGGACGCATCTGGAAAGCTGAAGGCAGCTGGTGAGGGTGGCCCATGACATAGACGAGTGATCAAAACTCTGGTCCCCATTGATACTAGGCATCCTTCCAGGGAAGGAGAGAGCCTGAGGTTGGAGCTCCTCTGCTTTTCCTTAGCTCTGCCCCTATAATTTGAAGACTTAAGAAAGCATTACAGATTTTAAGGCATTGTAAGCACCTGATGACTTAGCATCTCCATTTTCTCTCCTATTTTTTCAGTGTCACGTGTGGGTTTTCATTATTACTTTACCACAAGATTAAATTTCTTGAAAAAAAAAAAAATCAGCCTGCATCAGATATATTAAAAGAACAGCACAAAGGTCACATCTTCAGCCTGAGTTATAAGGGACTGTTCTTCAGCTGTGGAATGAATACCGCCATCAAACTCTGAGGAACAAGGCTTTGAGGGAAAGGTTCTTTTCCTCAGAGCATGCTGCCTGCAGCAAGTTAAAGAGATGGAAAGCAGTTCTTGGTGCATATGCTGCAGCCCTAAGAGGAGTTTTGAACAGATTTTGATTTGCTGTACAATCCAGTTCCCCAAAATACTACGCTACACATGGGAACTCCGTGCACTGGCAGCTCTGTCCTCTCTTTGCTGTGTGCCTCTGAAACACACTGTTTGTCTGCCCTTCTGAGGCTCATTTCTCCTTTTCAGCGTTTGATGTACATTGCCATGGTTTACGTGCTGCAACGTCTCCAGTGTCCTCTTGTATTTCTTTGGAATACATGTCTTGTTTTGCTCCTGGTATCTACATTTTAAAAATGCAAAGAATGATTATAGAATCAGGGGGCAGGTATGACTAAGTCCCAGTTTATGTACTACAAGCAGCTTCTCATCCAAAGGTATTGTGTGGATTAATGAAAGACTTTATTGCAGGAACTAAATGTTCTGACATGCCAGAAATGTCCAAGCACTGTTATGCTCCACTCAAAGGACCTCTCTTTAGAAACAAAATGATAATTTTATGCCCCTGCAGTGCAACCACAAGTACTATTTTAAGCCTTGTCCATGGAACTCCTTCAGGTTTCTCTGGCAGATGCTTATTTTACCTCATGAAGTGGATATTGGCTGTACTGGACAACTGGGTTAGACATACAGTATCAATCTGTATACTTGGCTTGACGTCTCAACAGCTGTGCTGAGAAAAGAGGAAGAAAGAAATTTGGATGACATACCTAAAACCCACACTTTCCTTGTATTCCAGTTTAAATGTCTGTATAACCGATATTTTCATGAAAGGACAGCCCCAGCCCAGCTCTGAAAGCTGAGGGGAATTCTGTTAGTGACTTCCACAGAAAGATAATAGAGCATCTGTAAGCTTTACGTGCTGAAAACCTGTACAGGGGTGAGTCCCAAATAGTCTGATAGGACCAGGCCGTGGTGTCTCTAAAGCTTGGCTGCCCACAGAAAGGTCAGTGCCACAGAATCTGTCATTTCTCTTTCCCTCTCTGCCTCCAGTTCATGCAGTTTTCTCTGCAGTGGATGTGGCCAGAGCTGTAGTAGCACACACCGAAATCTCCTGAAATCCAGATTCTTTCTAGTTTTTCTGTCAAAAGCTAGGTGATAACTGACCTTCAGTCTACTCTACGTGCTGCCAGGAGATGAGATACTCAGCCCTGTTGTGCTTCAGTCTTTGTACCTGTGGGTTTATGATGAATTTGCATTCTCCAGCTCAGGCATGTTGATGAAAGCAGTTATGCGGCAGGCACAGTTATCTCCTCACTTTAGCCGCAGTTCTTAAATGTCTTGATTCCGTCTTCTCAATAGCAAATGCACAGATGAAAGTAGGGAGGGGTGAACATGTGGAACATGAGTCAAGTGCAATCCCGTTACATTTCCTTCTTAGATATTATTTCATCAGCCAGACAGAAATAACTTGACAGCTACACAGCAGCACTTAGCATTTACATAACATCACAGTCTCTCCATGCAAGCTGGCCTGCCTTGCATTTTTGTCTTTGCAGCCTGCTGTTCATGCAGAAAGGCATTTTTATGGGCAACCAAGTAATTTTGTGTGCTATCCAAGCGTTGGATATCATTGGGCATTGCTTCCTCAAGTCATATGGCAGCAGGTCTCCATCACTAATATGCACGCATGGACTTTTGTATTCGTATATATGAATCTTAAGCACATATGAAAAGCTGGAACATTGCACATCATGGCAGATGAACTTGAGCACTCAAAAAGTAGATTGACAGCAAGTAGATAAAATTTTTGAGGTTTGTCCAAGGTCTTGTTTGGGAGACATGCCACCCTAGACACTTGTGAAGGGAATTACGTCAGAAGTCCTGTGGCCCATCATCTGTACTCTTAACAATAAGATTCCTGATCTGTACTCTAAACAATAAGATGTTGAAGTGTTACTTGAAATGTGAAAGAAGATAAATGTTTGAGGAGGAGGGTGACTCAGACTGCTAGTGACAGGCCCTAATTCACCTTCTGGCTATTAACTGAAAATCTTTCCCTAGTACAGTGTATACTCATGTTTAAATACAAGTCATTGATCACTATAGCAACCACTTTATCACATGAAGCACATTCTAGCTCTAAGATAAAAAAGTAGTTTTGAACAGAAATGCACACGCCTACTCATCAAAAGGTAAGGTGAGGTGTTTTTTATCTTGTTTTATCAAGATGGTTCTTGTTTTAAAAGTAGATAAAAGATTGTGTGTGAATTGGTTTCAGCATGTTTTGATTATTTATTTTGAATTTTTATTCCAAATGTATTAGTATCTGAACTGAAGGAACAGATGCTTTTCTTTGGGAGATTTAAAAAGAGAATAAAGAGTAAATATGTATTTAATCAGACTGTTTTTCTTGATTATTGTTGCTTTAGCTGTAGAAAAGCTATTGAATTATAAGGCAGCATCTAGAAATGGAATTTCTATTCTGCAAGAAATTCTGACATCTTGATTTCCCCTCCCTTCAACTCAAAAGCAGTGCTTAATTTTTGTTTTATTTTCCAGTGTAACAAAATATCTAAAAATTTAGCAGATTTGACTGAATTGTTTGATTTTAGTAATGGAAAAAAATCAGTTTTGAAAGAATTCCAGTGTATATTCGAAGTAATAGATGAAGCTGGGGGAGGTTAATAAAACTAAACCTAAATGTCTCAGGATTAATTATTAATATCTCAAAACTGAGGGTTTTTTTTGTTTTGTTTTGTTGGTTTTTTAAATTTTTTTTCTAGAATTTTTGCCAAATTAAATCTTCTGCAAAACATTTAAATATCGATGAAACTTTTCTTTGGAAATGCTTCAACAAGTGCTGTTGCTTACTAGATTGTATGAGGAATAGTACACAAAATGAGGCAATTAACTATCCCTGGCCTTTTAGAAACAGTGGGATCCTTATTTTGCAGAGCAACTGCCTGCACTTGCAAGCACAAGTGAGGAGAACAATTTCTTTTAAATAGAGTAGGGATCACAGAAGCAGTTGAACTTCAATGGGGCTTTTACTTCTTCCTTCTCTTTGCAGGAACATACTGAAGTGAATAGCATACCAGCTCATCATAGTGCTCATGAGCCCATCTGTAAATGTGGTGATTTAGACATCCTCTTCAACTATAAAGCCTCAAGTCAAAAGTTAGTAGTTACTGTCTTAGAAGCAAGGGGTATCCCAGACAAAGACCGCAGTGGAGTGAACACCTGGCAAGTGCACACAGTGCTGATGCCTAGCAAGAAACAGAGGGGTAAGACAAGTGTTCAGAGGGGACCGATCCCCATGTTCAAGGATAAAATTACCTTCAATAAACTGGAGCCAGAGGAGTTAAGCAGCCATGGCATTCGTTTCCGACTCTATGCGGTGCACAAGATGATTGGAGAGAAGATGATGGGTGAGCAGTTGTTCTGCCTGAGCAACATCAGCCAGGAAGGGGAAACAAAAGTGACACTGGTCTTGGAGCCAAGGAGTAACTTGAGTGTAAGTTTGATGGATGAAACATGGACTCTGTAAAATTGTTCACCTGGTGAATGGGGACCAGCTGTGCTGACACCTTTCATTCAGAGCTATTAGGGTTAAACTGGTGGATCTGTCCTACTGTCACTTGAAAATTTATCGGTAAGGCCATATCTTCCCCACACAAAGCTGTGTGTTATTAACAATGGCTCAGCTAGCAAACTTAAACAAAATCATGTAGAGGTACTACATATAAACACATCAAATGCTGTGTCATTCAGAAATAATAGGCTGGTTCTGGAACCACCAAGGCTAATTATGTCTTAATTTCAACAAGGACAGTAGTTTTTTGTGCACTGTTACGTGGGTGGATCTGTACTACTACCACTGCAAGAGCTACCTCTTTTGGCACTAACACCTAGCTTGTGGATTTCTGTGTTGTGCAGTTTACATGTTATCAGAAATGCCTAGTAATGTTCCTTTTCATGAGAGGTGGAAGTGAAAAGGGTGGGTCTTGTGAGGAAGAACTGGTTGTGCTGCTTTATAGTCTTCCATGCACATCACAGTTGTATCTTGCTCTGGCTCTGCCAATCAATTTGTATAGATGAGTTCTGTCATGATTCATTGTCTAAAAAAAGCTCAGTGGGAGGTGGTGCACATGAAATCAATAAACTGTGTATTTTCCAGCAGAAGGGGGGGGGGGCGGGGGTAGGGTGGGATAGAGAGAGCATCATAGTAACAAAGAAAGAAAGAAAGAAAATTCACTGTACATGACCTGAAAACCCCAAACTGCAAAATGCATTCCATCCAAAAGACATTGTCAAGGGAATTTACTGTGTGTTTGATGTTGTAGGATGTATACTTATCTCAGAGGCTTTGATTTACACTAGTGATAACACATTACTCAGAGTTCCTCATCTTTAAAGAGCAAGTTCAGAGGTGTGTTTTTGTAAAAGTGATGCTCTGATTCTGCTGGAGCCCCATCGTAATTCATTCTTAGTCATTGTTATTTCTTAAGAAAGATCTTACTAAACAAGGGTAAAAGATATAAATTAAGGGAGGGTGGTGTTGAATGTCCTGATGAGTCTTTCAGTGCTCTTTCCCTGCAGAGTGCAGACTCTCAGCTTAGTCTGTCAGCAGTCTCTCACAGCGATAGTGCTTCTTCAACACAGTCCCTGTCGCATGGAGGGGTGCCAGAGCTGCTTGTGGGATTGTCATACAATGCCACTACAGGGCGGCTGTCAGTGGAGGTGATCAAAGGCAGTCACTTCCGAAACCTCGCCATTAATAGGCCACCTGGTAAGTACTTTCACTGCTGTTAAATAACACCATTGAGTCAAAATTTGGTTTTTATTTTCTTCCTCAAGATACTCAATTAGTCATTGCTGAGGTAGGTTTCCTTGCAGAACATCTGATTGAAAATTAAAAGCATTATTTCAAATACGTGTGCTGGTAATTTTTGCCGTGTAATTGGAGGCAATCATGAAGACACAACTGATGGGACAGTAATACTTCAATGTCTCTTTTATTGCATATACCTTGACAAGATCTGATTATGGCGAAAGTGCTATTATACCCAAAGAACAGAGCAATTCTCAGCAGATCCATAAAAAGAAAGAAGCACTTTTCAAGTGATTATATGTTACCATGTGACCTACAGAGGCCCTGCCTAGTGCCAGTAAGTGTTTCCCAGGGCTATACCTTGTTTAGTCCCCTTGTTGTGCTGCTGAGGGCTAGGTGATCTGGCGCTTGGGCCCTTTGGGATTCTGCTGCTGGGAATTCTCTGCTGCCACAAAAGGAAATTTTCTGCAGAAAGAAGTTTTGAAAGTTGTTCTTCTGGGTTGCAGCAGTTGAGTTCTCTTCCTGCAATGCCTAAAGGAAAAAATGGAAACTGCGTTACATGAGGTTTAGTTAGTGCCTGAGCTGTAGTTACTCCCTGACAAGGACAGTGGTGCTAATGTCCATGATAAAGCAGCCGTAGTGCATGGTGTTACCTGCATTGTTGCTGGGGTCTCTCATTCAGGGGTTGAATGGCAGTGCTGTATTCATCTTGTATTGTTCATTTGCCTCCTGTCTGAAATCAGCAGCTAATGGCTATGTGAAATAATATTTTCTTGTTTGTTCATGTGCTTGCTTTCTGTGATGTGCTTGCCTGCCTGTCACAGGTAGTAACCTTTGACAGTCCCTTGCCTTCACTGGATTTGACATAGTATCTCCAACTTGCAAAATGCTAAGGTTGCTTTTGCAAGATACTCTGCATTTTGGCCCAGAGCTAAAAAAACACTTATGTAATATTTCAATATATGGATGTGAAAACTTGAGTTTCCACTAAACTATACTTACGTATATTACAGAAATAATCTGTCATCAGTCAGTCCCTTGAGAATTAAGGGCAAGTCTATGCAGCAGTAATAAAACATGACCCCAGTCTGCATAGCCTTTGCAAGTCTTGCATTAGCTGTGGCAACATAGCTGTCCATTGAGTTAAAGACATGGTCTTGTTTGCAAGAACATGTCTTACTAAAAGGTTTCATGTTGGCACCTTTTTAGTAATTAAAAGCAAAGACAGACTAAGACAAATGTTTTAGCACATGCTGTAGCAAGCAAGCTCAACTGCATTTATATATGTTGCAGTGGAGATACGTCCTAAAGGTTTATTCTCAGAAATGAAATTCAAGTAGTCCAAATACAGCTCCAGGTTAATTTACTACAGTGTTTTTTTCTGGCATGTTTTCATGTATCTACCTGTGGTATTGGAGTTTTATCTCTTAGCTGCCTGAAGATGTGGATTATGCAGCACTTCTGTTCTTAAATCAGGCCCTGTGCAAGTTGTCTTGTGTCTGGCTGGGTCAGGCATATGTAGTGCCTACTCTTTTCCCATAAATTGAATGTCTTCACTGTATAGAATTCAAATAATTGCCTTCCAGCTTCTCACCTGCAATAAATTATTCACAGGTTTTGGTATTCTTCTAACAAATGTCTTTCTGGGTGCATGTTGTGTAGCTCCATGTGTTACAGTAAACTGAGCAGCCCTATAACTCATTGTCTATGAGTGCTGGCGAGTTGTGTCTGTCCTGGGCCTCTGGTGGGATAGCATTTGGCAGGTTAGTCATGTGTGTACATGTTAGCTTTCAGCATGGGAAAGTTTAGCTGCCTTGATTAGACATCCCATTCAGCTTCTTAGCTGGTGGGTGTACAGAAGTGCAGTAGTTTGGTTGGCAGCAACTTTAAACCTGAGAAGCATTCTGTGTTGATGGGATAAGAACAGGAGCAGTATATGGGAAAATGATAACATTCCTTGAGGGACATTTTGATTTAGATTCTGCCTGAATTTTCCATTTTTGTGTTTGCAGGAATTCAGATAAGCGTAGTCTAATTGGTTTGATAAGCTGGACAATAACTTCTGTCAGCCATCCAAAGTAGTAGTCCTGGCATTGCTTCATAACAGTTCTTCAGTCTTCACTGTTAAGGCTATCTTGAGTTGTTTCTTTGCATCCTTTCCGTATCCAGGTCAACTTCAGCATTGTCAGACCAGTATCTCTTAGCATTAAATCAGTTTATAGGTAAAACACAGAAATTCATAAATGATTACAGCTGAATTCTGAACCTATCACAACCTGCTTCTTTTATTCCAAGTCACATTGTTGCTTCTGCATTCAGCATTATTCTTCTGCTCTTATAAAGTTCCCAGTAGTGTGGTGAGAAAAGGAAAACCCAGTGAAGCAGAAACTGAAAGAAGTTAGAAAGAAGAAAACCAGCCCTTGTCTCAGATGTTTGAGTAGCATTTCACTGATAACTCCTGCAGGCACTGCAGAGGAGTGCTGTGAGGTCCGATCATTACTGTCTGAAACATGCTGAATGAGATGCTCAATAAGTGCTTCTCTGGGTGAAAACGAAAACTGCTATCTCCCTTTCTGGAGGGTGAGCAAATAGCCTCTGTGTTTTCTCAAATACATCCTATCTGCAGTTCTGTTGTTTGAGGCTCAGAGGGAGTGATTTATTTCTTGAAAGTATCGTGAGGATTTCAAATATAACGGTGCTTCAGGACACTGAAATACCAAGCACAGGCTGCTGTTGAGGCAGCCATTTATGGTACAACTGAGATAAGTCAACGGGTAGAATCCATCTCCATTCCTAGCCCTGCATGTACAGAGCCTGTACAGTACCCATATGTGGTCCTGTCACAGCCCAGTGTCTTTAGTATTATCTGCTGCTGACAGCTGCAGCTATGGGGAATGTCATGAGAGTCATGCACAGCAGCAAATTCTCCAGCTGTGCTTTTTGCCCACCTTGACCTTCGCATCTGATACCTGCAGTCCTGCATAGGTGAGCTCAGAATCGCTTACAGTGTGTGTGCTCACTGCTTGGCATCCTTGCACAGGGATTTCACTGTGTACAGAAGGATCTGGACTGGAGCATTGGTGATTCTAGGTGTTAAAGACAGCAGAGGCTAAACCAGATGGTTTTGTAGAGAAGAAGAGGAAGATTGTGCACATCTCAGTTTTTCCTGGGCGTATCTTCTCCTTCACTTAAACCTTTAAACTGAGTAAGGTAAACATCAAAGTCATGGGTGATTATATGAGTAATAACTGGGTTAGAAAACAGGTGGACAACTTGGAGACTTAAATCTTGTAGGCAGTGTCTTCTCTTCAGGTCACATATGTGTAATTTAAGGATAGTTTGGTCAAGGATAAGTGTCCAGGTATTGTTTTGGGAGCATGCTGAGTTATAGGCCTGGGTCTACAATCTCTGATCACACAAATAGATCCATTATCACTCAGAGCACTTAAGAGCACTCAAGAGTATGGCTGCAGCATTGGACTGTAAATTATTAGTGTGTGCCAAAAAGCCTTATGCAGAAAAACATCTACAGTTTTGTCAGGCATGGACACTCTGTATTTTAGTGCTAATGGGTTGTATACTGTGCACCTCATTCTCTTTGGTTCTTGTAAAAATCATTAACCTATGCTAGCGTTATGCAGGGGTTCATATTTCGGTCTGTGTTATTGTATCTTCTTAGAACAAAACCCAGTGTGTTAGTTTAAAGGATGTTCATTATTATACACCACTGACAGACATATCTTAAAAAAATTATAACCAGTTACATGCTATGAGCATGGTACCTTGGGACTGTAGTGATAGACCAGGAATCATTCGTGCTAGTCAGTGAGTGTATAAACATGCAACAGAGTGATGGTCTCGGTTCACATGGTGTCTAACCTTCATCAGCTGCTTTGCTGGGTGCAGTTCTGTCTCCTCTAATCCATACTTCATTCTTTCCCCTTCTGCATTTCTTTTGCGGTTTACGCCTGTGTGTAATGCAATTTGAGAAGGACTATTGTGAAGATATTCCCTTGCCTAAGGAAAGTCCTCCAAGTTTTTCAGCAGCTGCAGAATTAATCACACATAATAATTACATCCATACATGATCATTATTATACCAGCAGCGTATTAACCCCATTAAATAAATACAATAGCATTAATGCTATTGTAGACAGGAGGGAGAGAACAAGCTTATCAGGATTTCTATTTAGAACAGGATAAATTCTTGGCATAAAGCCTTGTCTGAAAACAAACATCTGAGCCGCAGATAACAATGCCGAGGAGTACAGAAGATGCTTCCATAGAAAAATTAGCATCCTGATTGCTCTGGTATCAGAATGCTTGAAAGCCATTAGTGGATTTTATTTTATGAACTTGTTTGTGAGAGAAGAAAAGTTACTATAGCTATTTCATTCCTGGATAACTGAGGCACAGGTGAATTTTTTTAATTACTCCAAATCAGACCAGGAAGCTGGGAAAAAAAAAACCAAAACCAAACAAAAAAACCCACCACAACAACAACAACAGCAACCAAACAAACCCAAACAAACCAAACCCCTAACTTTTAACCTGCATATCTAGCGCTGAACAGGGGAACTTGCATGGGCTCCTAAATGTTTGTAATTCATGCTTCCATCTTATCAATAATAGAAGGGGGATCTATACCAAAGCAAGCTGGGATGTATTCAGTCCTCCAGAGATCTTGGTTAACAGAGCAATAGAGGTGTGGGACAGCTACTTGCTGCCAAGTACTTGCCAGTTCCTTACAGTAAGTTTGTACAAGACCAATTGTCCTCCATCTTTTTGTTGCACATACTTGAATGTAGCTTGAATAAATTTACAATAGGATCAGCTGAGAAAGTTTTGCTGAGGTTATTAAAGATGAAGCCAGATTCAAGTAGCCCCAGAAAGATGTCTCTGTAAGGAGCAGCTGGGTAGTGAGGCAGAAGATGAAGTATGGATGAACATAAGGTCTT